CGATCTTCCTGATGGTGGAGTCAAATCTTCAAACGCGAATTGCGGGTGAACGGGACGTCGGAAGTGGGTACCGTAAAAGGGAATGTGGTAGCCCGCGACACGATCTCACTGATGGTGGAGTTAAATCTTCAATCGCGAATTGCGGGTGAACGGGACGTCGGAAGGGGGTACCGTCAAAGGAAATGTGGTAGCCCCCGACACGATCTTCCTGATGGTGGAGTCAAATCTTCAAACGCGAATTGCGGGTGAACGGGACGTCGGAAGTGGGTACCGTCAAAGGGAATGTGGTAGCCCGCGACACGATCTCACTGATGGTGGGGTCAAATCTTCAATCGCGAATTGCGGGCGCACGGGACGTCGGAAGGGGGGACCGGTTAGTGAATGTAGTAGCCTTCGACAAGATCTGTTATTGATGGTTGAATCGAAAGTGGCTAATAGAATACTGATCTGCCACACAAAAATGCGCTGAAGTCCCTTCGATCTCAAACGAGGACTTTGATAATTTTTAACTTGAAAAGGTGCTAGACTAGAAGTCCAATTAAGGAAGGGTCCCTTAAGTACTTGCTAAAGAAGAGGCTGACCGAGGTTTGCGACGCGATGTTTGTACACAGTGCGGCGAAAACACTCTCCGACATGATTATGCATTACAGCAGGAAGTTTACGGAAGAGGTGAAAAATAGAAACCGACAGCCAATATTATCATCCAGCACCAGTGGCAAGTGTGGAGGTGTCCCTCTCCCAAACTTACAAAGAAACGTCATAAAAGACATAGGGTATTGAAAAGTGCGAGTTATTGGAGTGGAGGCTAGCACAGCGACTTGAACAATGAACAGGGAATCACATCGTCGCCTAGCAACAATTTGTTTATGGCACAGGAAGATGCAATCTCTCAGATGTGCCATCCTTATCCACGATAGTGTTCTCTTATAATGGGAAAAACATAAACATCCCCCACATCCTGTGACGTTCACTTTTTTCGATCTCTCAAAGAAATGCTTGCCTCGAAAAACATTGTTTAAGAAGGGACAAATGTCTCTAATAATATTAGACTTAAAAATTGGATTTTTAAGGCGGTAGAATATACAGGGCCTTCAAACGGTCGATTATCGGGAAAATATTCAAGGCATCCAAAAAAGTTTTATACAATAGTTTTAGGGTTTTTCAATGTCTACTAGGCAGTATAATAACTTTAATTATACAAAGTTAGTCAGAAAGGCGTAGTAAATAGAACACTCTGTACATAATTTGATGTTTCAATTCAAGTCCGACCCGTGTGGCACAGTTCAATTGAAGCTGGACTGCGGTACTAAGGGATACTGGTTCGAATCCGGGTTCGGGCATGGATATTTGTAAATGTTGGGTTGGTAGAGCAGTTTTGGCTAAAACCCCACCCACTCAAAAATATATTCCTCGTACCTACTGCAAAAATTGCACTCCTGCCCATGGAGAATGTTAGAAATGGTCAACGAGGAATTCAATACGTCATTGCTTGGTGTTAACTCGACTTTAAATGTGTCGTTTAGAACTACTAGCTCGTAATTTGGAAATGAATCTTCCGAATTTTATAGAAATAGGTAAAGTAAATTTTTTTTATTTTCTGTGTTAGAGCAGTACATGTCATAGAAAATTTCCGGTGCGTCGGGGCCGATTTTCCAAATAATTATGTGGTTAGTGCAATTGTAAGAACCCATAAGCGGTAGAATGGGAGATTATTCTTTTAATGTCTATTGAGCAGAATGTCAGAAATTTGGATCATATTCAGTTATCTGAATTTAGGGCTATTTGATTACAACTGCAAATTCGGCATGACGTCATTTCAGCATCGTGGAAACTGCAACCTTTACTTTTACTTGATTCGGGTGGGAATTATACAGACGAATTAACAAAAAAAGATCAGCGTCTGTGTTAACAAGAAACAATTTTTGTAGACGTTCTTTAATTAATAAAGAATAGAGGGGAGTAGTTTTCGTGGTTATGAACGCAGCAAGACTATGTTCCGTGATCGTTACAGAAAATTAATATTAATCAACTCCCGTTTGGTTAATTTCCAATTTAAAACTTTGATTATTTTGCGTCTGTTTGAAAATTTTTATATATAAAATTCTTCCGTACGTGTGTCTGTGACTGAAGTGCTCCTAAACGGGTTGAAGAATTTTTTTGTGTCTCTGTGTGTTCCCGGGTGGTTCAGATTCACAATTGGGACCGATCGTATTACGAAAGTCGGTGTTTTTCAGGCATACATCGTAGATCCATGTGCAAGCTATTAATTTGTACGCGAGTTTTACAGTAAAATCAATTAAGGAGATTAGTGGACTGTGTCATTTATTACACCATAAAGGGATTTATTGTGCAACCAGAGGACGTTAAAATCTCATTGTGAAATGCGCGCGTTTTCGACGTATAAATTGGAGTCGCGTTCGATCAAGGACAGATTAATTAAACGCACTGAGTTACTTTTGACTATAAAAAAAATTCAGCTGTCGTTAGGGATTAAACCTCGGAATAAACTTGATTGTTAGCATACGTAACTCCATGCCAGCAGTTGGAAAAAACGTTAATCGAAAGTTATAGTAAACCAGGTGTCAAATTCTTGACAGAATAGCTTCCTAGCTGAAACCAAAAATTGCCAACATATGTACGCACTTACAGACGGGAAAAATTTATTCTTTCTTTAAAAGTTGCTTAAAATGGTCTAAAACGTCGACATTTGATGAAATTTTGAAATGTTCAAAAAACGGCTATCGCAATAGCTACCTAGCACATGCTAGGAAGCTAAAAATTTTATTCTTTAAAAGTTGCTTAAAATGGTCTAAAACGTCGACATTTGATGAAATTTTGAAATGTTCAAAAAACGGCTATCGCAATAGCTACCTAGCACATGCTAGGAAGCTAAAAATCGCCTAGTTTAGTAAACAAATGTCTCTTTTTCTGTGAATAAAAATGCTGTCCAAACCCATTTTTAGCTTCCTAGCATGTGCTAGGTATCTATTGCGATAGCCGTTTTTTGAACATTTCAAAATTTCATCAAATGTCGACGTTTTAGACCATTTTAAGCAACTTTTAAAGAAAATTTTTTTCCGTCTGTATGTACGTACGTACGTACGTTTGTTGGCAATTTTCTGAGAAAACGGCTCGACGGATTTTGTTGAAATTTTGTATATATGTTTTAGGCATACCGAACAGAAAAATAACGGGCCGGATTTTTGAAAAGAAATTTTGGAGCGCCGTAACGGCATCGAACTTTTTTTTTCAAATAGCAACCTAAAATTTTTATTCTATTATTTGGAAGACCTTATTTTCCTGTGTACAACCTACAAAAAATTGGGCCGGGTTATATTATCAAAAAACGGAGAAAAAAATTGTCAAAGTCAAAAAATTGTGTTGCATATGTGCAAAACGCAACGATCTTGTTTCTGAAGCAATTTAAACGAAATTTCTATGGTAAGTCCCTTTAATAAAAGCAAACAAAATTCATGCGCAAAAATCGTGTTGCGCATGCGCAGAAATGCAATTTTTTTATTTATGGAACAATTAAAACGAAATTTGGATGGTAGGTCCTCCTAATAAAAGAAAACAAAATGCATGCGCAAAAAAATCGAGTTGCGCATGTGCAACATCCAACTTTCTTATTTATGGAGCAATTTTAACGAAAATTGGATGGTAGATCCCTCTAATAAAAGCAAACAAAATGCATGCGCAAAAATCGTGTTGCGCATGCGCTTTCAGCTAGGAAGCTATTCTGTCAAGAATTTGACACCTGGTTTTTATAATTGTAAGGAGGTCGTTCCGACTACCGTATTATCGCGTCGCCAGCGTTAGCTAGGAGATCATTCTGTTTACGAGGTACAGGGACAACAATTTATTTATTGTGCCAAATCAGGGCCTAAATAGCTAAAGAAAAATCGTCATAGATATCAATATATAGAGATATCAATCGTTAGGCATATTTGAATTCGTTTGTTTTGCAAGTTTATGAACCCATGAAAATAGGGTTTGATTTAAAAAAAATCATACTATTTAAGTATAAGGTAAATTCTGCATAAAAGATCACTCTTTATATGGTATTATATTTTAATTAAAATTAATCCACAGAAAATCGTGGTCATGAAATTTATCTAGTTATTTCGAAATTTATATTGGAAATTACCAATACGAAAATTTTTGTGATAATATATATTGGAACCAGCTCGTCTTCAAAATTTGATTAATATACCTACCTACATATACGCCATTTTATGGTCATTAGCAATGAAATAAAATTGAAGTCAATTTTCAGAGAAACCTAGTGAAAACTTTCAAATCATTTTTAAAAACTCTCTAATTTATTTCAAGGAAGGGAAGTTCAACCCCCTTTGTATGCAAAGCCTTTTGCATATTATCTAATGGTTCTAATTAATTACTTAATGATCCTTGCCTTATAATGGTACTAAATGCAAAATGTTTCACAACTTATGCTATTTAAGTGCAGGTCTTTCATTCGTCTAATTAATTCCGCAACAAATGCATTTACATAGGAGGTGATCCACCTAATAAGTTTATCTGAAAGACCGGTCCCAAATGTAGATATTTATTATTTAGGAAAAATTAACGCCTTCATTCGCAATTAAAGTTACCTTATTTACTGAAACATGAAACTACCCGTAGCAAATATAATCCGATGTGTAGAACGAACGGACAGACAACATCGTTTGATATTTATTATTTAGGAAAAATTAACGCCTTCATTCGCAATTAAAGTTACCTTATTTACTGAAACATGAAACTACCCGTAGCAAATATAATCCGATGTGTAGAACGAACGGACAGACAACATCGTTTGAGCGCATTGGTGCCTAAAGTACGCTTGTTTTGTAAAGATTAGCCCTTTCTCTTCCAGAAATTTAAATTATGAATTCAATTATATTTTTTTAACGAGGGCGTCAGTCCTTGTGTTAAATTTTGAATCGTGCTCCATTTAAAACTATGCAGCCGATCATATTTGATGTGTCCATTTGTTGCAGTGAAAAAGGCGATTTTGATGAAGACGATTCTAAATCCACGAAAACCGTCGACGATAATAAAAAGTAAGTAACACAAGTTTTTGTAGGTAATTGACAAAAAAAAAACGCATTAAACGTCAATGTAATTTTATTGGATTACAATAGTAGTAAGCAACAAGGAAGCCTTAAGAGGTGTAGGTCAAGGTGTACAATGTAGAAAATGCATAAATGCATTTATTTCTGCATTTTTCTCAGCGCTCCTAGCTCTTGACCTTCTTTCATTTTCAATTTGCAGACAAAACCATAGCGAAATTGAAAAAAGGAGGCGAGACAAAATGAATACGTACATAACGGAACTATCGTCTATGGTACCGATGTGCAACGCAATGTCGAGGAAATTGGATAAGTTGACGGTGCTGAGGATGACGGTGCAGCACATCAAGTCCATAAGAGGAAGTTCGCATTCCTACGCCGAGGCTCACTATAAACCCTCGTTTTTGTCGGACCAAGAACTGAAGGAGTTAATTTTACAGGTTCCATAATGAATTTAGTAGTGAAAACCGGAATAATTTTCGGTTAGGTTGCAGATGGATTTCTATTCGTTGTTGGTTGTGATCGAGGCAAAATTTTGTACGTATCAAAGTCCGTTTCGAAAATTCTAAACTACTCCCAAGGGGATCTATTGGGCCAAAGTTGGTTCGACATCCTACATCCCAAGGATATAGTCAAGGTGAAAGAGCAACTGTCTTCGTTAGACTTGAATCCGAGAGAGCGACTAATCGACGCTAAAAGTAGTAACCGACTCTAACAGCAGACCACTAAAGACGCATTTACAGCTATGCTACCCTTAAAAGCCGACTTACCGCACGGTGCTTCTCGATTATGCCCCGGCGCACGACGGTCGTTTTTTTGTCGGATGAAAAGCAAACTAGTGGGGCAAATGAAGGAAGAAGCTGACACTACGACCGGGGGTCATCGAAGAAGGAAGCATTCTTCCGGTAATGCAAAACTAACATGCTCTAATCTGAACCACTTTGCTTCCCTCAGATAAGCAGTATAGCGTTATCCACTGCACTGGATATTTGAAATCTTGGGCACCAGTAAAAACCGCGGTCGACGATCATGAAAGTGAAGTTGACGAAACCTGCAACCTTTCCTGCTTGGTGGCCGTTGGACGAATTCTACCCAAAATACCATCACAACTGGCCCAGAACAAACTACCAGTGCGCCCAGTGCAATTCGTATCACGACACGCAATGGACGGCAAGTTCATTTACACGGATCAAAGGTTGTGCACTCCCCCAATGACGCGCTTACATTGTAACTATGCTTTAGGGCAACCTTGGTCTTGGGCTTTCTTCCGCAAGAACTTTTAGGGACGAGCACTTACGAGTACTACCACCCCGATGACATCGCCACGTTGTCCGAATGTCACAAAACCGCCCTGCAGAGTTTAGAGACTGTAAATACGGGCGTGTATCGCTTTCGCACCAAAGACGACGGATTTGTTCGTTTACAAAGTGAATGGAAGGCCTTCATGAACCCCTGGACTAAAGAAATTGATTACCTGATATCGAAGAATAGTCTAATTCTGTAAGTAGATTCTTCCCCCTTGCACGCTTAACCCGTCCATCGTAGAGCGGATGCAGGTACTGTTGAGAGCAGCGCCGGACAGGCCGATGGTTTACAGGGGAACTACCAAACATTCGTTAACGGTAATAAAAATCCAAGCCAATCTACGTTATTAATCTGATAGTGCATGCAGTGAATGGCAAAGAAACACGTAGAATACTAGATAACCAAATCGAAACTAGTAAAATCGGTTCTAAAATTGCAGACCAAGTTCTGGACCTTCAGAAACACGACAGAACAACTTCCTCTAGAGGTAGCTCGGAAAAAATCGTCAGTATAAAGAGGTGCAAATCGACAAACTCTAAGTATTTAACTTACAGTTTCGTCATCAAAGATCACAACTGCAGGAAAACGGAAGAGATAATCTCTTGGAAACTATTTGCAACGATCCCGGTAAGATAATGCGCGGATTGGGGTGGACCAAATACGTTTAGCAGTTTTAGGCGGGGGTACCGACGACGAAATAATCGAGATGATGGAGGACGCGGTTAGAGATTCGCCCGGAAATGGACCACCCACCAACGGAAATGACGAGGCGGCAATGGCAGTTATAATGAGCTTGCTGGAAGCAGATGCGGGACTTGGAGGTCCTGTGGATTTTTCAGGGCTACCATGGCCACTACCCTGACCTTTTACTCCGGCAAGTTGATACCTACCATAAACAGAAGCCAAACTTGTCTCTATATAAATGGGAAAACTAATTGTCAATTAATTGTTGCTGTGATGTAGTAAGCGTTAATCTGGTAGTTAAAACAATGTGATTAGCAAAATAAAATAAAAGATCAAATATTTTGAGTGGCCGAAATGTGCAGCGGGTACGTTTCTTTGTAATAGAACCTAATCGCAATATAAAATATTTCATAGTTCTTTATTTTCCCACTAGAGATCATCCGAATGTACCTACTTTTACAGTGACTTTATAGAAACAGTGACGAAAATAGGAGTTCGGCCGCCATTTTGCGTGAAAAAGTTGGCCACACACAATACGTACACGTAGGCATGTGTGGCGTACAGCGCAATATCATATATACTTTATTGATTTCCCTAAGTTTTGGCGTGCGTGTAGCTTGTTCCTTTAGAGAAGATTACGATCTCATAGTGGTAAAAGAAATGTAATACGCCTTTACTTTACTTGAGTTACTACTAGGGTTCTTAAAGGTTAGTAAAAGATCTCATTTCGACTCTTCTTGCAAGTCCTTGAAGTCTGCTGAAAATTATTTAAACCTCTCGAAGGTTTTTTACATACTAAAAATTTTGTTTTTGGTTTTTGGAGACACTTAAAGGCTTTTTGAAGCTGTTTCAAAACCCTTAAAAGTTTTTAATAGCTGTAGAATACTTTCGAAGGGCGATTTCCCATGTGAACAAAAATTCCCAAGGTGACTCGACAGCCACTCATTTCTGATCACATAGTACCTATCTGTGGTGGACTCTGGAGCCCAATTTACGAGCGAAGAATGGAAAACATTTGCAAGATTGTGACGAGTAGCCCCTAGCCCCTTATATCATCAGTCGAATGGACAAACGGAGAGATCAGTCCAAACTCTCAATAAGATTCTTTGCAAGCAGAGCTGGGCAGTATTCGATTTTGTAAATACTTTTTAGTATTCAAATCCTTTAAAGTATTCAAATACTTTGTAATTAAATACTTTTATGGAAGCAGTATTTGCATTTGTAACTCAAATACTTTCACAAATATTTAGTATTCGAATACTTCGCAAAGTATTTGGATGCTTCGTAAAGTTTTCGAATACTTCGCAAGGTATTTGAATACTTTGAAAAGTATTCGAATACTTCGCATAGTATTTGAATAGTTAACCTTCCTTTTTTTACCAAAAATCGACTACTCCAAAATTTCTCGGGAAAACACTTTTTTGAGACAATTTTTTTTATGGGCCTCAAAGAAAGGCAGTGTATAACCTTCCCTTTTACCAAAAATCGACTGCACCAAAATTTCTCGGTAAAACACTTTTTTCTTATTAATTTTGGCGCGTAGAATCCAAAACAATTCGTACTTTTTCGATCAGACTTCTCAATCAAAAGTTATAGACTAGAAACCAATTTCGAAAAAAAAATTCAAAGGGCTGTAACTTTTGAACTAGTAGCCCAATCTTGGAACTGTTTGAAATTATGGATTCTACAGGCCACATTCTATAAGTAAATTTTTTTCCGGGTCGATCTCAGACAATTTTTTTTTCGGGGCTCAAAAAAAGGCAGTGTATAACCTTCCTTTTTTACCAAAAATCGACTACACCAAAATTTCTCGGGAAAACACTTTTTCTTGTTAATTTTGGTGCGTAGAATCCAAAACAATTCGTACTTTTTCGATTAGACTTCTCAATCAAAAGTTATAGACTAGAAACCAATTTCGAAAAAAATTCAAAGGGCTGTAACTTTTGAACTAGTAGCCCAATCTTGGAACTGTTTGAAATTATGGATTCTACAGGCCACATTCTATAAGAAAATTTTTTTCCGGGTCGATCTGAGACAATTTTTTTTTCGGGGCTCAAAAAAAGGCAGTGTATAACCTTCCTTTTTTACCAAAAATCGACTACACCAAAATTTCTCGGGAAAACACTTTTCCTTATTAATTTTGGTGCGTAGAATCCAAAACAATTCGTACTTTTTCGATCAGACTTCTCAATCAAAAGTTATAGACTAGAAACCAATTTCGAAAGAAAATTCAAAGGGCTGTAACTTTTGAACTAGTAGCCCAATCTTGGAACTGTTTGAAATTATGGATTCTACAGGCCACATTCTATAAGAAAATTTTTTTCCGGGTCGATCTAAGACAATTTTTTTTTTATTATACCTGAATCTTGCGGGCCTCAAAAAAAGGCAGTGTATAACCTTCCTTTTTTACCAAAAATCGACTACACCAAAATTTCTCGGGAAAACACTTTTTCTTATTAATTTTGGTGCGTAGAATCGAAAACAATTCGTACTTTTTCGATCAGACTTCTCAATCAAAAGTTATAGACTAGAAACCAATTTCGAAAGAAAATTCAAAGGGCTGTAACTTTTGAACTAGTAGCCCAATCTTGGAACTGTTTGAAATTATGGATTCTACAGGCCACATTCTATAAGAAAATTTTTTTTCCGGGTCGATCTGAGACAATTTTTTTTTCGGGGCTCAAAAAAAGGCAGTGTATAACCTTCCTTTTTTACCAAAAATCGACTACACCAAAATTTCTCGGGAAAACACTTTTTATTATTAATTTTGGTGCGTAGAATCCAAAACAATTCGTACTTTTTCGATCAGACTTCTCAATCAAAAGTTATGGACTAGAAACCAATTTCGAAAAAAAAATTCAAAGGGCTGTAACTTTTGATCTAGTAGCCCAATCTTCAAACTGTTTGAAATTATGGACTCTCGATCGATCTCGATCTCAGACAATTTTATCATGCACGGACAAACGGATGGTCAAAAATGGATCTGTTCCAAAATCGTTAGGATTAATTTCAGAAAGGCGTACGTATCATGTGCACGACGTACCATCGCTTTGAAAACTGTACACGTATTCTTAAGGATATAACTGGTATAAGAAAGGTCCTGGTAGGTACCTCCTATATAATAACATAATAATAAGTAATATTACGCTTTTATTCCCCTTAAATTTGTATATAACAATAGAAATATAAAAAAAGCTAACCCCATAAAAAGTATAACTTGATTTTTTAAGTAGTATTAAGCCTTTTATCTAGTATACTATTTTAAATGTTTAATGTATTTGAGTGACAAGTAGGTATCTGAATACTTTTTACTGTATTCGAATACTTTTCAAAGTATTCGAATACTTTTCAATGTATCTGTAACTAGTATTCACTTGTGCTAGACTTAAAAGTATTTAGTATTCAAATACCTTTGATTTGTGTAGTATTTACTATTTAGTATTCAAATACTTTTTGAAAGTACTGCCCAGCTTTGTTTGCAAGAATAAGGATTCCACTCTCATCTTGCTATTATATAGGGCCACTGCCAGGCCTTCTGGATATAGTCCAGCAGAACTCTTGATGAGGTTACCCGAAACCCGAACTTGCAAACATTATTCGTTAAATGCGCATTAATTAATAAATAGAGTACGGTCCTGGAGTATACGTATGAGAACGCAACCATTCACACAGTCTCCACCTTTTGTTAACCGAATCCAACCATTCTTTTATAACCTCACAATTTTACATGTGGTAAATATTTACATCCATGAAGCGAAAATGGTACGAAGACACAATAATCAGCTACCAGAAAACTTACCACAGTTACAAAACCTCATAAAACGTGACCCAGAATCATACCATGAAGAATTCCTGCAGCAACTCCAACACTTTCAAAACACGATCGATGTTTTCCAGCTGGATCCGCAACAACCGAATAAAACGTTAGATGAACTCGTGATGTTTATGGCACAAGTCTCTCACTGCTACACGAATGATTTAAAAACGTTTCCGCAACAACTCATCGACCTGCTACAGAAGCACAACACAATGTTGGATAATTCCATGCGAATGACGTTTTGTCGCGCCCTAATACTATTGAGGAACAAAAACTTGTTAGCGCCTACAGATTTGCTGGAGCTCTTCTTCAAACTATTAAGATGCGAGGACAAAGCCCTACGTTCATTTTTAGAAACTCACATTGTGACAGATATCAAGAATTTAAATGTAAAACATCGCAATGCCAAGTTAAATGCGACCCTACAAAACTTTATGTTCACAATGCTCAAAGACAGCAATACCAGGGCTGCGAAAATGTCTTTGGATATAATGATCGAGTTGTACAAGAAGAATATATGGAATGATGTCAAAACTGTGAACATAATCGCAACGGGTTGCTTCTCAAAGATAACAAAGGTAAAAGGCTTTTTTATTTGTTTCTGATTTGAGTGGCCTTTGTAACAATGTTGTTTTGCTTCAGGTGATGGTTGCCTCATTGAAATTCTTTCTTGGAAAAGATCCCGAGGAAAAGGAATCCGATGACTCCGATTCAGAACCGGAGATTAATCCGAAAAGTGTGATAATGGCAAACAAATTTAACAAAAAAACCAAGAAGCGCGAAAAACGATTATCAAAAGTAAAGAAGTTAGCAGCCAAAGCGCACAATAAGAAGTCAAAGCCTCCTGCTTTTAATTTTTCCGCCATTCATTTACTGCACGACCCTCAGGGTATGGCGGAGAAGTTATTTAAACAGCTTGAGACGACGACGAAGCGTTTTGAAGTCAAGCTGATGACGCTGGACGTGATATCTCGCCTCATTGGTCTTAATAATCTCTTTCTTTTGAATTATTACCCGTATTTGCAAAGGTTTTTGCAGCCGCATCAGCGAGAGGTAACTCGTATTTTGCAGTTCATCGCGCAAGCGAGTCACGAACTGGTACCACCCGACGTTTTGGAGCCTCTTCTAAAGACGATCGCCAATAACTTCATCACTGAGCGCAACTCGTCCGATGTAATGGCTATTGGTATCAATGCAGTCCGAGAAATATGCGCTCGATGTCCGTTGGCCATGAGTAACGATCTACTTTCCGATCTTGTAGAGTATAAAAGTTACCGAGAGCGACCCGTGATGATGGCCGCAAGGTCACTCATGCACCTGTTTCGTACTGTCAGACCTGAGTTGTTACACAAAAAGCATCGCGGGCGTCCAACCGAGGCTATGGGTGAATACGTACCGAAAGAGTATGCCCAGCTCGATGCCAAGGACTACATTCCCGGTGCTGAAGTGCTACTCCACGAGGAGCAGGAGGACATTGAAATTAACTCGGAGTCAGATTCGGACGACGAATGGGTGGACATTCCTCAATCGGATGAGGAAGCCGTAAACACAACCAGCACTGATGATCCCGAGGTCAAAAAACAAAAACAGGAACAGGCGAAAAATGTGGTATTGGAACGCATTTTGACAGACGAAGATTTCAAGCGCATCGACCTCGCAAACGTCCAGAAACAAATTGATCCACTCAGAAAAGGGAAGAAACGCAAAATTGAAGATGATCCAGCGGCGACTTCGTCCGAGTTTGTACAGCTGGGAGATATTGAAAATGTGCACAAGAAACGAAAGCACGACAAGGAAACGAGAGTCGCAAGTGTTAGACAAGGCCAGCAGGATAGGGAGAAATTTGGTTACAAGGACGGTCGTGTTAACATACATTGCTCTAAGACTAATCGTGAGAAGAAGAAGACAAAAAATTATCAAATGATTAGACATAAAGCGAGAGGGAAAATTAAAAGGAGTTTCAAGGATAAACAGATAGCATTAAGGAATTATCTAATTAAGCAGAAACGAATGAAGTAATTGTAAATATTTAATAAAGAACTGTTTATTTCCCTCTATTTCACTTGTTAAATATATCAGGTGTAGAGCTTTAGGGTTCTCTTCCACTGTTTTGTTAGGGGTTAACTTCCCCTGTTTGAAAACGTTGAGTCTAGTGGCAGGATCACAATCACATAGGATAACATGCACTGCCTGTTCACAGAGCATCTTCTGCTATATCTTTGTTTAGCTATTTTAGCGGAAGATGGCCAGTAAAAGTCTGAAGGTCCATCTTGCTTGCGAGTGCATGAGGTTACTTAATTTATGTTTCCATTACATGGTCTTGACCGGAAGTAATATTCATATAAATTTTGATCATTCTTTTAATATGTGAAAATTACCGAGTTGTTTGTAATTAACATTTTATCCATGAATGAAACATTCACGGATGATTTACAGCACCTAATTTCATGATTGTGTTTAACATTCAACTGTAGGCGCGAAACCCCGAACGAGGGGCCAGTTACATATCTCGGGGACGAGATTATGCTAACCAAAAGTCTAGGATTTAGAATCTATATACGATAAATGAGTTGCGATTCGCTAATTTCTACATATTTTGTCGTAAATTTGCCTACAAGGTCATGTTGCTCTTAACAAAAAGACTATTGTACCAAAGATGAGTCACATCTGAGTGAGTTAATAGCGTTGTTTGATCACATGCCAGTTTTTGATATCAAATTTAAGCGGGATCCATTTAGTTTCGTAAGAAATATAGTCATTCGGGTGGCATTTTTAAAGCGTTGCAGGATTGACTTTATTTCCGAGTTTTTGTAGTGTGCCGTTAGCATATAACCTTGGGGTTAAGCACACTACACATTCTACAGGAGCTTAGCTCGGACTTGATTAAATTCATGATTGACCAATGGGAGGCTAGGAGAAGTGGTAACATCATAATTCTAGAAATGACTAAAAAAGATGTAGACAAATGTTTATTATCTATCACAGATATAGATACTACTGTTAAGTGTCCGCAGCTTCTTCTGTCGCTTTTTTCTTTTTTTGCGCAAAGCTTAAGGCGGTTTTATCGAATTCCAAAGTCATAATCCCTATATCACCGCTATACCTGTTTTTGGCAATCTAAAATACGAGAAAGTTAAAAAATCTTCAAAGGCACTCGGCACCTGCCTGTAAATATTTTTTGCCACGCTGAGGCGTTAAGCTTTTATCTTGTATTATTAGAATATTATCGGCCTCCTGAGACGCCTTCGCGCCGCCAAAAATTGAGTTGGTCGTCAATTCGTCCAGATCTCTCTCCTTTCTGGGGTGAATAACTAGGGTAACGTGACAATTTTTCCTAGTGGCGAACGAACGGAAGGCTGCAATAATGACGTCCTGCTTCCAAAATCGATCCATATGCTTCTGATCTTCGCTAATGCCCATCATGAACTGGACATTGTCGATGATTACGTGAGAAATGTCGTACACGTACTGTGCATGCTCTACGGCCTATACCGAAAGTTGATATTCTAGATTATTGTTTGTGTGGCTCACGACGCGTAATTGTTTACTGTGTTATAAAGGCAACTCAGTACAATGTATCGTGAAGGGGGAAATCCCTGCGGCATTTTTATTGTACTTGTACAATCGATTTTTCTGCTTTCTTGCTATTTTATGTGATGCTCTTCCACAAAAATTAAAATGTTCAGTTTCATATCCTGCGTTAAAAATGAGGATTGTTTACTGTATCTTATATGCATCGGATGTAACCAACCACTAATTTTCAAGTAGGTAATCAACACAAAAGAGAATTAAACTGATACCGGTACTATACCAATTGACAATATCAACTTTTCTTCAGTTGAATACATCGCACACGAACGCAAATAAAAATACGGAAGGCAAAGCAATAATATTCTAATTAATTAATATGACAGCAAAATCTTCATTTGTTTGCCTCCTTCAGAAGGGAAAACAATACACACAAATCCCTGCCTACTTCATAATGACCACTAGATATACTAATACATGATTTCTGTGCGTTTTTTTGTTTTTTGTCTTAAAAATTTGACGTTTCATCCCCATAGTCGTGTCTATTTTCAAATATAATTGTCATGTAAGTAGTAAAAAAATTAGTGCTACCTAGCGAAGTCATGTTGGGACGAATCTGTATAATATTATATGTTGCATAATAAAAAGACAATCTTACAATTAGAGAAAAAATTTAAAAAAAAAACACTGTCATAGTCATTGGCAGTACCTACCATTAGTCTGTAAAAAAATCAGCTTCATTCATCCAACCGTAACCTAGTTATATCCGTAGAAAGCTCGTGAAAAATTGACTAAGAATTATTTTTTACGGAGTTATCAAATGTTCGCGATTTTTTAACAGCATTTATCAACGTTTTCATTTGGTGTATAACTTACTTTTCTTGAAAAACAACCACTTAAAATTGGTACCACAAGTAGTAGATTTCGAGCTAGCTCCCCAGCAAGTGTGTACAGGGTCGCTGATAAGTCTGGAAACGGTCAATTATCTGGGAAATAATAATAATAATGTTTATTCAATAATGAAAGATACAAAGTCTTTTTTATCATGTCAATACAAAAAAAAAATATAAAAAACAAAGGCTAACTAAGACAGTTTTAGATCTAACTTTTCAAATTCTTGGAGAGAATAAAAAGCATGTTTCATTAACATTTTTTTAAATGTAATATAAGAGAGAGCTCTTATGTCTTCTGGCATCTTATTGTAAAGTTTAACAGCAACAAGGCCATAACTTTTATGAGATTTTACAAGTCGTCTCTGTGGAAGTATTACGTTGTTATTACTTCTGGTTCCATACTTATGAATTTGACTATGTGTAATCCACCTATCAACATTTCTGCGTGCAAAGAGTAAAGTTTCGAGAATGTAACATCTAGGCATTGTTATACTGCATTCATTATAAGAAGGTAGTAGATGGCACTGTGTTTGAAGATAAACAAACACAGGAAAAATATAAAACGGCACCAAATTATTGTAAAGTAGAAATATTCAGCACTGCGAACAGAAATAAATCTTTGACAATATCAACTAATGACACTTCGGCAGTTTAGTTGGCAACATAAACTACCACTTTACAAAATTCACCAGTCGTTTTATGTTTCATTGTAATACTGACTCGTGTTTTAACCAATCACAGTGAAGGTCAAAGCCTCCCTATGCTTTCTACCGCTACCTTCTTAAAATGAATACAGTATAGTATATTACTTTTAACAAACAAAGGTTTGCAGTGCTCCAATGGATTTACTTGATTTAAGATTCTTAAAACTTTTTTTTAAAGAATAGATTCTGTTTGCTGAAGAACAATTGCCCCATATTATTATGCAGTAAGACATGACTGAATGGAAGAGATACAAAGATCTTAAAGATATTATGTCTAATACTGGAGCTAGTTTTTTTTATCACATACACTACCGAGCATAATCTAGAGTACAGGTTCGTTACATGTTCATTCCACTGCAAGTTAGAGTCGATATACACACCAAGAAGTTTAACACAAGCTCTGTTGTTATTGTCAATAGTTGTTTTTTTTCTTAACGTAAATACAATGTTTTGATTTTTGCCCTCATTTAAACTTAACATGTATGAATTAAACCATTCTTTTGTAGCACTAGTTGTAATCGCTTGTTTTTGCAGAAGATCCAGCATGTCGTTGCTTTTGATAATCATGGTAGTGTCATCTGCATACAACACAGTATAGCAGTGATGTAGATTGAAAAACAGATCATTAATGTAAATGATAAATAACGTGGGTCCTAGGTGACTCCCTTGTGGCACTCCATGTAAAACTGTCCTATTCTGTGATTTTTGCCCATTGTATTCGACTACTTGATTTCGGTTTTCTAGGTAAGACTGTAAAAGACGTAACGGAACTCCGCGAATTCCATAGTGCTCCAATTTTGATAACAATATCTTGTGATTAACACAGTCGAATGCTTTTGATAAGTCACATAATGTTAAAGTATACAAGGTATCAAAAAGTTTTATACAAAAGATTTGAGGTTCTTTAATTTATACTAGGCGGTAGTAATTTTAATTATACAGGGTTGGTCATAAATGCGTGGCACACCAACATTGCATTTTTTTAAATGGAACACCCTGTATATTATTCGATATTTCAATTCTTCTCTCAATTTTGAACATAATTTGTAAGCAATGTATTCAAATGCAATTCGTTCCGAGTTATCGAGTTTGGAAAATAAAAGGTATTGCTTTAAAATGTATTGAATATAGAACAATAATTATAATAACGAATTTCTTTTAAAATCATTCTGTGATTCTGAAACGAATAGTTTGTGAAGTTTGTTTGGAATCATTAATTTTTCTTATTAATGAATTTTAAAATAATAGCGTTTATTTTCAAAACTGGATAACCTGGAAACTATTGAATTTAGGTACATTATGCTCATTACAAATTTTGCTGAATAATATACAGTGTGTTCTATTTAAAAAATGCAATTTTGGTGTGTCGCGCTTTTATGAGCGACCCTGTATAATTAAAATTATTACTGTCTATAATTTGAAGAACCCCAAAACTTTTGTATAAAACATATTTCGATAACTAGTATATTTTCCCAGATAATCGACCGTTTCCAGCGACCCTGTATATAGAAACAGTACCAGTTATTCTGTGTCTGTGGGCAGCAACATGAGGTTGTTCAAGTAAAATGTAAGTAGTTGCACATGAGAATTAAAACGAGAACTGTCAAATGACATATGAGAAATTAATGCAAATGCAAAACCGGTGATATAAACTGCACTGCAGACTCAAGTTGCAAATTGCCATCCTTTTCTAACAAGTTGCAGTATGTCTCAGACTGTAACCGACACAGTGAACGATAAGCTTATTATTACGATATACATCCATAAGATGGCACAGACAATACTATTAGTTGCATTCAGTTTATTACTTGAAAACCATGTATTTTTTGTGTGCACTCTTCGGTCTTAAGTAAATGATTTGTCTACTTGCAGTTTTCGATGGTGAACCCCTCAACAAAAAATGTGCCAAATTCTTGACAGAACAAGTTCCTAGCTCAAATCAAAAATAGCACTTTTAGAAGTGTCTTCAAACAATTGTAAATGTAGGGATAACCGTTTCTCTCGAAAGTTTATTATTTTCCGATGTAGAATAAGAATATTCAATATTTTTTTCTATTTGAAAAAATAAGTTGTCCTACACTTGACTCTTTAAGTTATGTGATAACGGGCATAGCATCATTAAATCGGCTCTTACATATAAGTATATCATTTTTGATATCCCGCTAGTTTCTGCAATAACAAACACCCTGTATATAAATTAATTAGGCAACATTGAATGAAATATAAGATTACTGGAACTGGTATTTCCAGCTTACAAAATAAATGACCGCTACGCCCTCGGCTACACCCCAAATCATCTCGCTTATGCAGTTAAACCCCAATAAATCATCCCCTGAAACTGATATCTATTCTAGCCAAAAATACTTGTATCAAAACTATCACTGTAAAGGTGGTGACAATATACCTTGGAAAATTTCCACCTAGCCTGCGCTAGGAAGCTAAATAACCACCGCTGGAGGGTACAAGGTACATTGTAAGAAGGTATACATAATATTTTCAGCAATTTCCCCCATGACGATCACGATTTTTTGATAATTGTTAAAAAATTCATGAGAAATAGTACCTCCATTACTACTTTGACCGCCTGTTGTCCGTGAAAAGTCATATAATACATTGGAAGCTTTTCAAACTCGTCCGCAAACGTATCGAACTTCTCCAAATTTTTGTCCAAAGGTAAACCAACCATTTGTTGTAGCATGGTTTTAGCCAAACGGACATTTCTTATTTCAAAACTTCCCCACAAGGTATTAACCTGCACAGTCAAAATTAATAATTAACTAAAGCAAGTAGACTTATACTGACACCTTGTATAGCAAGATCAAGCGAGTATTCGCTAATAAAAGTTGTTTTACCGGAACCAGTTGGGCCAGTTATCACAGTTAGCTCCCCTTTTCTATGACCTTTTAAAATACGAGTTAACGTAGGAAAGCGCTTCCATTTGACACCGTGCACCTACAAACTTTTCGATTACATTATCATTAAATCGCATGTGATAATAACCTTATCAATATTTTGCAAATCAGACAAAATATCTTCGCGCAAACTTGAAAATGTAGTAATGGATTTGTGCCAAATAGGCTTGGCCGCGGCGACAATTGCCTTGAAGTCCCTCTCGACTGCATCATGAGGTAACAATTGATTTTCTGTTGGCCTAAAATTACACCCTTAAAATTTGTGCGAGATGAAAACAAAACACCGGGTTACCTCACGAATAGACATCGTTTCTCGTTTAATTTCTTCGCAAAGCTTCTTGCTGAATCCCAGGAGTTTAGGTCATTACCGAACCACAGAATCAATTTACTAAATCTCTCCAGGCTAGGTAAAATGTACTGCGGTAAGTTTATTAAACCATTAGGTAAACACACTATATAATTGGATAATCTTTGGTTCAGCAGTATTAGAAAATCGGACAGGTTAGGCACAACAACTGCGGTGTCTTTGACCTTAGTCGATTTACCTGCCAAAACACCTTCACATTCGACTAAAGGCTCCACTTTCGGCGTTATCTGCCCATTTTGCTTTTTATGCAGTATTCGATAACCAACGGTCGTCGACAACGCATTTTCAAGCGGGAAATACAGGTTCGTGTGGGCTAAGTCTATTCTAATTGAGATATGTTGAAGCAAAGAGTATGAGACGTCCTGTGGATATCTACCGTTAATCAAGTTGAGATATAACCCAAGAGGCAGCTACAGAAATTGTGCCCCTATTCTATCAACCTGTTAATGTTTATATTAAAGTGAACGCACCGAAAATGAGCCACACACTATTCTGATTTTGATTTCCACAATTAAATAAAAATGTAGAAATAAGGGCACACCTTCTGATACTGCCTCCTGGATTCATAGAACATTAATGAGTACCGGAAGCTGAAATTCCTTGCAGATTTTGACAAAGTCTCCTTCGGAAAAGTTACTTAAGGGTATTGTGGTATTTTCGATATTCTTAAGGTACTGAGACACGACCTCCAAGTTCGAAGTCAACGTAGGTTTCCCGGCCGTTTTACTCCGCTTCGTACTAACATAAGACTCGAGGGAATTCCACTGGCCGAAGGACATGCACGAAGGGCACTGGAATGCTCCTACGAAAAAGCGAATAGATTGCTAACGTAACCAGTACACCTTACCTGTCTTTTTGTTAATGAAAAGTTTGGGGTTGCTCAACGATTTGGCCTTCCGCTGGCATACGGGGCAGTTAATTAGAAAGCATGTGTGGCCCTCTTCGTAACTAAGCTTGTGTGAGTTAAGCGCTCGTTTGATTACAGTGGGAGATATATCGGAAATGTCCTCGAAAGAAATATCGTTGAATTGTCTCGTGCATGTTTTGGACGTTAATCGGGTCGCCAAAATTCTCATACTTTTGAATAAAGTTGTAAATCGCATATCATAGCTACGTGCTGGCTCTTGTTAGTGAATATTTATTGTCATCCTCAAAAATCATCTAAAAAGGATATCACTACCGGCATAAATTTCTAACAAATAAAAAGTATAAACTAATAAAAATATGAACTAAAAGTTAGGTTAGAAACACGCTGTTTGGGAGGGATTGCACTCTCTGTACAGGGTGATTACAAATTTCTTTACATAAGGACAGCCCGTTCAACCAGTTGCTTCACCCTCAGCGGTTCTGTCATCAAGGAGCTGATGTCTGTCTTTGATCAAGTGACAGACTACATGCTTGGATTTAACCTGCCTCTCCACAGAACTCGCACGTGGGCTCTCCTACAAGTCCAATGTTGTAACGCGATCTAGTGCCCCGGAGAAGGGCACCGGTGATTTTCCTAACCTGGCTTCCATTGAGTTTTAAAGCTTAGAAGACCCAGATATGCCAAGAGACCCTGGATTGTCTAAACCCACTTGTTTGTTGCAACTGAACCAGGAATGGACTGAATCTTTATATTTCCTGATCTTAAAAACCGTAACCTAATGGAGGCATATTTCAAATTTGGCGCCCTAATTGTGGGCGGTTACAAAAAAGTCACATGTGGCACTTTGGGGTTAGCATCAGCTGTTTTTTTGAACGATGTGAACAATTTCCTACAGTAACGGGAAGCAGTAGTGGATAAAAAATGAACAAAATTGTGTTTTTATTTTTATTTATGTTTAGTTGCTACGAAATTTCTCTTTCTTCTGAATTAAAGCAACCTACTATCGTGATTGCCATTCTAATAAGGAACAAAGCCCATACACTGCCCTATTTTCTTTCGCTTATAGAAAACATTAACTACCCCAAAAGTCGCATCTCTCTGTGGTTAGTAAATAAAAGATTAAACAAACAATAACATAACCTGTCACCTGTCAACGCACCTTTACGCGCGAAATTTAAAACCGAATTGTTGCAGGTTGAGAAGTGACCACAACATTGACAAATCCATAGAGATCCTTAACTTATGGCTTGAAAACGTTTACGAACAGTATCATTCGGTTAACACCAAATTTTCCGAAGACAAGAGATTCGATGACGAAACGGGATTCGCACATTGGTCCACCTCACGCTTTAAACATGTCATGTCAATGAGAGAAGAAGCGTTAAACTACGCTCGAAATGTGTGGGCCAATTATATACTTGTAAGCTTTCCAGTCTCAACTCTCAATACAGACTACATTTGTAGATGATCGACGCTGATGCATTCTTAATTGATCCGGATGTTTTAAACTCTCTAATTTCGAAAGACCTCACTGTGGTTTCGCCAGTTTTAAAATCGGTGGGATTATATTCGAATTTCTGGGCGGCAATGAGCAGTGATTACTATTACAATCGATCAGACGACTATGAACCAATACTCTATCGTCAAAAGGAGGGCTGTTTCATTGTCCCAATGGTACACTCTTCTGTTTTAATAAACTTAATGAAAGAAGAATCGGACCATCTCACTTATGATCCCGGAAAAGTACCTAACTACGATGGGCCAGTCGATGACATTATTGTTTTTGCACTATCCGCAAATAAATCAGGTGTTAGCTTGAATGTGTGTAACAATAAGGTGTTCGGTTTTATAATGGTGCCACTTGAACAAGACGATGACTTAGAATATGACTACTTACAATTAACTAATTTAAAGTTAGAAGTGCTAGTGGAAAATGAGCCATTGAGAGTGAATCAGTTATTCGAGCCCTATATTAGTTTACCTAAAAAAGACAAAATGACGTTTGACGAAGTTTACATGATCAACTTGTTACGAAGAGACGATCGGAGAAAACGCATGTTTGCCTGTTTTGACGAATTGGGCTTGGATGTCAACACACTTTCTGCCGTTGATGGAAAGTAAGTATTCATTTGTGCTAAGTATTTGTTTATAAATAATAATGGAAAATTTGTGAGGTTAAGGTTAAACGTCACAAGGTCACAAGTTTGAAATTTAAAGTGTTCCCATTTCTTAAATTACCCACCGGATCAAAAACGGGATTGTATTGTACAGGGTGTGCAGTACAAACTAGTAGGAAAAAGCATGAAAAAGCTTACACGCTTTAATGAAAGAGATATTACTCTAAACGAGAAATATATAAGACGATGTTTTATTGCAATATTCGATTTGAGCATTAGAACAATTATATGAGACCCACTGGAGTTCATATGCTCACATATTTGTGCAATATGTGGTTACACATTCATATGCGGGTGTACCACAAGTTTGCTTTAAGGCGAGTTTATGCTCGTAAAAAATAAAAATAAAAATAAGAAATAAGAATAAAAATAACAGCAAATGTAACCGTTTATACTGAAGTAAATAAGAAATTATTTTGAAAAAAAAACCGTCCTAAATATGCACGACCATGCATTTATCCTCTTTTGCCACCTTTTTAGAAAACTAGAACGTATAAGCACATTCAAATTCTTTTGTGGGGATCTAAGCGAGTGTGCTTTGAGCCTGCAGTGAGGCGATATTACATACATCATCAGTGGGTAAGTATGTTTTCCATTTTGTAACTGGTCCTCTCCTGGGAATAATTTGAATTTTTATGTTTTTTTCAGTGTTGTGCAAAGAAGTGCAATAAAATAAGTACACTTGATTACAAATATTTAACTCTTTTAACACAACAATAGCTTAAATTCTTAACAATAATTTGGGTACTTATTATGAAATATACGCGTGTAAATGTTTCAGTCGCCTGGATGCAGGGTAAGTTGTGAGCGGTGCTCGCTTTGGTAGTTAGTTCCAATCGCCCAAATGCTAAAACCAAGACTGAGACTTTTATGCGGTGAAGCCACTTTTATAGGCGTTCGTAGCTGTTCTTTGCGACCCGAGTTGCGACCGCTCAGTCTCGACCGATTGACGAGGCGGTGCTAGACGGAGCAAGGGGGGAAAGCGCTGTTTACAGCGCCACGTGCACTTTGTGGCTGAATATTGTTACAAATCTCCCTCTTTGAACCAGTTGTCGTTCCGGCACAGAGTTCATGGAAGCCGCGGCTTGACTTGTTCTGCTTATTTTGATCCTTAAGGGCTTTGTTGAGTAGGGATGGCGCCTCGATCTTCACGGCATTCCTCGTGGCTGGCCGCTTGCGGGGGCGTCTACGCCGGCGAATCTGGGGTATGGGTCCTTAGTTCCCTTCCCATACGTGGTACATAGGTCTCAGGTCTCGTGTGACGCCGGTAGTTTGGCAATGTGAAATGTTCAATATTTTGTCAAATTTTAGGCCCTATGCGCTGAAGATGTTACAAACTATTAAATTATGAAAATCTCAAATTCAAAAATGAAAAAAAATTTTGCAAAAATTAATTTTTTGTCATAGTACGTGTAGTTTGAGGTATTTTGCAGCATGATGTAGTTTTCCGAGACGTTTTCTTCACTCATTGCTGAATCTGAAACCAAAATTTTCCTATCAAAAATAATAGAAGAAGATAAGGAAAGTTTTTCTAACAAATATTCACATAAGCAACAATTTCTACTAAAAACTTATTTGTCGAGTGCAATAAACCCTTTATACTATAGTGCATATTATATTGGTTGCATAATTTTAATTTCGATCGCGCAAAAAATGTTATAAGCACGTCGAACGTTAAGGTTACCGTTCTCAGACAATAAAGTTGATGATTATTGACGCCAAGCAAAATAGTAGCATTGGAGGGATGTAAAACATGTAGAGGCTTTCCAGGTTGTTGTCGCCCAGATACGTGTAGTTTGAGGTATTTTGCAGCATGATGTAGTTTTCCGAGACGTTCTCTTCGCTCATTTCGGAATCTGAAACCAAATTTTTCTTATCAAAAATAATGGAAGAAAATAATGAAAAGTTTTTCTAGCAAATATTCACATAAGCAACAATTGACGTCAATTGTTTTCTACTAAAAAATTATTTGTCGAGTGCAATAAACATTTTACAGAAACTTCTTAAAGTTTGCGTTCCTTCGCTATCATGATGTAAGTACATAAGAACGGAAGTAACGACTTTAGTAAGGATTTTGGGTAGTTTCTGTAAAATTCCAAATCCTTGTCACAAAATGGCATATTAATTATGCTTCACAGTTTTTGTAAATTAATCCAAATAAACGCAAGCTAATTTTATATGGTGTATACCCCCCTCCCCCCCATTTTCTAAAGTTGAACTTGGCACCACTAAAGGCATGCGTATGCAAAATCTGAGACCAATTGGTTGTCGTATGTAAAAGTTATTCACGTTTTACTTTCAAAAACAGCATTTTAGGAAATCATTCGTGGGGGGCCCCCCTGTTATACTGCGAAATTTGATGGCCGTCTGGCACACCTTCAAGGTATAGGCTACCTACTGCAACAAATTCCAGGACTCTAGGACCATTTCCGTAGAAGTAGTTCGAAACGTACAAAACGCAACAATAGACATTTTTTTTAATTCTTAAAAAATGCGCACCTTCGGTGTCGCAGTTTTGTTAGTTGACAGTTTTTCTCGTCTAATTGCTAGGCAACAGATTTTCATTATCTTATCAATCCAAATTTACTCGGTAAAATACAAACCTCTTGTGCAATTATAAGTGAAAATTTGAGGTGTATCAAATGTTGTTTTAAACAACCAAGAAGTCCGAAATAATCACCTACAAATTTGCAATTGATTGACTGCCCGCCTGTCGGTGAGCGTTTTGACTGGGAATTTTGAGTCAACAACCTTATTCTTGCAGAAGAATTCTCTAAACGTAAATAGAAACATCTATTAATAACAAGCAGTACCTAGATTAGCCCAAACAATATATTATGTAGGTACATCATTAATTTATATCTTATGCCATTGCACGCCCTCTTTCAGAAATTGTATCCCCTCCATTTGCGGTTCTGTTTTAATAGCAATTGCGTTCAGGTCCAAAATGTTTCATTTTATTGGCCATCGGTTTGGAGATGACCGGACCGGACAAAATCTCTACACGCGCACTAATTTCGCTGTGATAAAGGTGAAAATCTTAGAGTTAGCCTTTTGGGATAAAGAATATTGAAGAGTGCCAATATACTGTGATAGAATACCTTAAGAATACTATAAAAACACCTGAAAATACACTGCACGTGTGCGAAAGGATGCCACCTGTTAAAATATAAATATAATAAGAATCACATTTATGCAATACAAGTTTTCAATGTTCAGATATAATATACGTCAATTTGAAAAGTGAATTTGAGATTCATCTACGTTTGTATTTTATCTACTAGTTTAATCGTTACATTCAATAACACCCCTATTACCATCTTCTGAGATATAGATGTGTATACATAGGTACCTACCTATTGCATATCGAGAATGAAGTGTCGAAAGAGGGTTCTCACAAAGGGGCTGTGGAGTTAACAACAGTTAAACTTAAAAAAATTGGAAAATTACCATAGTATGAATATTAAATGCCCAATAATTGAATGAGGGAGTTAAGAATTCATAATTCCCTAATATAACTCCCAAGGGAGTTATGGGTATATTTATACTTACTGTAACTAAGGCAATATTTGTTTAGTATAAAATAAACAATTTTTTTTGCGATTTTACATAATGTTGTTTTGCAATCGAGGAGAGATTTTGGAATATGAAATTATTAAGATTGCAGTTTGTGAACTGTTTACCAATTGATATTCCTGATTTAAATTCCATTTAAGTAACCTTCGATTGGTGCTCTTATTTAAATTCTTACGCATTTCTTTGGTAATCCATTAGTTTAAATGTAAATTAACTTGTAGTAGATTTTTTATTACCTTAGTTTGCCACTAGAGGCCATCCAAGTGTTATAGATGTCTTATTACAATAGTTCTTTGTTTTGCCGATAGAGGTCGTGCAGATGTTTTCTAGGGTATTTCTAATCCCATCTTTTCTTTAAGTTTATCTTGCCCACGAGCTGTATTTCTCGCGCAGTGAAGATTTTGCTTTGGTTATATGCAAATTATTTTTATTTGGTACGCCGTTACTTTCGTCTACTTGGATAAGGGCTTTTGGAATTGGCTGACACCATATATATTTGGAGTGATTCCTCGTTATCTTTTTGATGTCTGTGGCTGTGCTCTTTTGAAGCGTTTTACAGATTTGTATTTGCACTTAGTCAGTGCGAGATGTGTGGATTTATAACGCAACATTTTTCTTGATACGTAATTCTTAGGGCTTTACCTTCCCTCAATCCTCAAGTTCCCTCAACTCTCAAACGTCGCTTATAGTTTTCTCTCAAGTTCTCATCGTTCTTTCTCTTGGATTACCTTTTACGTTATGATCTACCTGGATATTACTTACGACCTACGCAGTACGTGAATGACACCGCATTTTTTCTTGGTCCCTCGATAATATTACGAATGATATTGGCGAACGTCACGCTTAGATTCCACCGCCATTTCAGTGAAACCAAACATGTTAGTAATTCTACAAACATTGAGAAGTTGTTTAATGGTTGGGATCTTTCACTTCGGCATTCGTTTCCTAATGCGGTGATGGAGCAGCTCTTAAACCATGCTGGTTTCGAATAGTTCCATTGGTTTTCTTAGCGCCATACGCTTTTCTTAGTTCGGCAGCATGTTCGGCAGTGACATCGACTCATGTTTCCGGGGTACCTTTAGGGCCCTGCCACCATGTAGCGGCGAGAACTTTGTTACGTAACTAAGGGGCTTATTCTGTAACGTGTAACGATGTAGTTACATAATGATTATGGTATCGCAACGACTTGCTCTATTCTGTACGCTACAATTGACTGTTTCGTAACGAAAATATCGCAGCAAATTTGTATGACCACAAATTTACTGCCAAATGGGAATGTGGTTGCCATCGACAAGATCTTATTGATGGTGGAGTCAAAACTGGCTAATAGAATACTGATATATGCTACACAAAAATGCGCTGAAGTGCCTTCGGTCTCACACGAGGACTTTGATAATTTTTTATTTTTATACGTGCAAATAGGTAATATGCGTAGGATAGGAGATATAATATCGGTCAAAATACTAATCGACGCGGATATGTAAAAATAAAATGTACATATACTTAGTGTTAACAGTTTATTTTCGGCCATAACAAGCGGTTACAACTAACATTCAGAAATAAACAATAATAAAACTTTCAGATATTTGTTACAACACAAACACTTCGCTTTGTATTCTATTGTACTACTAATGTAATTAAGCGTATTTTCCCTTTACATTATTAATGTTATTATTCGCTTAATTATCACGCACTTATCTATACAATTTAAAAAATGTAAGCTTAAGTAATGTGCTAAAAATGTAGGATGGTACAAAAATATGCTTTATAAGTAGATACCCACATCGATGCGTGGTGCGTTTTGTCAGTTGTGAGATTTTTCTTACATGGAGGGTAGTGGGCCGAAAAAACTCATTTTTTTATATCGAAGTTGTAATAGCGCGGAAAAATTGCAACTTATATAGATAAAACCGAGTATAAAACAAGAAAATTTTTTTTTTCAAAATCGGTTAACATCTACCGGTCGCGCAGAGGCCCTAAAGTTTGACAAAAATTTAATGTTTGCAATTTTTTTCATTTTTGAATTTGAAATTTTCATAATGTAATAGTTTGTATCATCTTCAGATAGAGTCTAAAAACATTGTGTTTTAATTTGGTTTAGATCAGTAGACTCTACCTGAAGATGTTACAAACTATTACACTATGAAAATTTCAAATTCAAAAATGAAAAAATTGCTAAAATTAAGTTTTTGTCAAACTTTAAGATCTCTGCACGACCGGAAGATCTTAACCGATTTTTAAAAAAAATTCTTGTTTTGTTTATATACTTAATTCGCATATTTTCCGCGCTTTTACAACTTCGAATGAGTTTGGCCCACCCTGGGTAAGCGGCCGATATCGGTAAACGTACAAGGTTTCGGAACTAAAATTTGCACCTCCTACTGACCCACTTTATGGAAAATCTACAAAAGAAGAATGCTCGAAAACGTCGAGTTTGTATTGAATGATTTCACCCCACTTTTCAGCGGGTGTGAGATTCAGGATGAAACTAAAATTATATGTTTAAGCATTTGTTCTGATGTTAATTGATTGATTGCAAATTTTAGTTGGGACAGCCTTGATACCGAAGCAATGCAATGTAACATAACAAACGTCATATTCGGCCCTTTGATGTATCACTAACGTTAAACTTAACGTGCGTAATCTGTCAAAAACGTCAACGCAAAATACCGTTTTTTAGCAGATAACCTGCACGTTAACTTTGACGTTTCTGATACATCACAGCGCAGAATGTTCCTATGCAGACGTATAAATAAACTTAAATACTAAGAATGTATTAGTGCCATGTGACAATACTTTGAATTTAACTTATTGCCGTCCTTGGTCTATTTAAAATATTACAAATTTATTTGACGTCCCCTGTACTTCGAAGAGGCGCTGACTTACAATATAGCAATCCAATAAGAGTCCTTGTATTTGAGTTGCTAGAGACTTATGTTATGGTCAGTGGTCTACGCTGATGTGACAGATCATTTGAAGTTGCGGCTGGTCATATTCTGAACAAGGAATGCTGAGGAAATACAGAAAGGGTTCCTTGGGTTCGGTAAAGTAAAGTAAAGGGAGAACACGGACACTTATGAGATCAATCGAAAATTGCCATTTGAATGAAGCGGCATTTTTTACATTTATCATTTACGTGTAAAAAAGATGTGCATTTGTTATACAGCGAATTGGTACATTATCGCTACAGTAACGTATTGTCCAGCTCCGAACGGCGAATGCTTCTGTGGCTGATGTTTCCATTTAATCTGCACAGGCTGGTCATGCCCACCCTCATAGCACCACCAAATGCCTGCTGTGACCGTTGAGAACCAGACATGTGTCGTTCTTCTGTCCTTTGTGATCCTCTCCACGTTCGCGAGAGAGCGGTGTGCATTTTTCTCGTGCCCTCCTAAAAACAGACATTTGAAAATGAATACTCCTAAATCGCACAATGAAGGTAGCAGTCAGTTTAGTATTTTTTCTGTTTAATTTGACTAATGGAGTAGTTTTTTCTGTGTAAAGCCACCTGGAGGTCAAAAACTTAGGATAGACATCCTAGTGAACCCCCAAACAACCTTTGGAATACTCTCCAGAAGTGATATCGACTGGACTATAAGTAAATAACTAGACACCAACTCTTACCTTAATTTCTATCATCCTACACGAATAAATAATCGGATTTGCTAAAGTTTTCAATATAATCAGTACGTTTGTGAACCACGATATGTAGAAAAACATGTGAATGTTCTCCGTACGTATTCTTTCCAATTCCTTCCCACTGTAGAGGCACCCCTTTGGACATATAATCAAATACGTTATCACCGCGGGCAACCATCCAACTACGCACGAGCCCAAAATAAATAACGTCGTATAAATCGCCTTAACGTTTCCTTCCATTTGTCGCTGTTGCGAATTAATGCCATGCCGATTTGTCCTCACTCCCCTATATCGTGTACTGCCGCTTCTCGACAGTTGCGACCATATTTTCTGCTGTTTTCTGACCAGCAGAAGAATGTGCGTATAACAGAAGATCATCAGGATCAGCGGCACGAAGAAAAGCGACGAGAAAACGATTCTAAATTTGATTTCTGACAAAAATGATAGCGTAACACAGCCAACCTCCCAAAAGTCATCATCCGAAACCGTAAAAAAGTAGGTTTTTATGAATGCGATTGGAATGATCCATAGTAGTATGACGGTGATTGTCGTTTTCCTCGTGGTCATGATGGATATGTAATGGAGCGGTTTCAAAATGCCCAAGTAATGGTTGATACTTAAAGCCAACAGGTGCATTACGGTGATTATTACACCACTTAGGCGGTACATTTCGATCGTTAACAGTGCTAAACACGATGCTATTTCGATTCCGTACACTTTCGGTAGATAGCTATTTAATAGCAACCCCAAACCTAGCAGTGCGGATGTACACGCGTCAGCAGCCGCTAGACTTAGGCTAATGTGAAGCGTTGGCGATAACGGCCGTCGAATCCAATGTACCGCCAGTAACACCCTAAAGTTGATGATTATTGACGCCAAGCAAAATAGTAGCATTGGAGGGATGTAAAACATGTAGAGGCTTTCCAGGTTGTTGTCGCCCAGATACGTGTAGTTTGAGGTATTTTGCAGCATGATGTAGTTTTCCGAGACGTTCTCTTCGCTCATTTCGGAATCTGAAACCAAATTTTTCTTATCAAAAATAATGGAAGAAAATAATGAAAAGTTTTTCTAGCAAATATTCACATAAGCAACAATTGACGTCAATTGTTTTCTACTAAAAAATTATTTGTCGAGTGCAATAAACATTTTACAGAAACTTCTTAAAGTTTGCGTTCCTTCGCTATCATGATGTAAGTACATAAGAACGGAAGTAACGACTTTAGTAAGGATTTTGGGTAGTTTCTGTAAAAGTCCAAATCCTTGTCACAAAATGGCATATTAATTATGCTTCACAGTTTTTGTAAATTAATCCAAATAAACGCAAGCTAATTTTATATGGTGTATATGGTAAATACCTACGGGCTGATTCAAATTTTATTCAACTACTATTCAATTTTACTGTTACCTTTTGACAATGGATTAACATTGTGTAAGGGCTAGTCAGGACAGTAAAAGAATAAGATTACATAGTTGCAATTTACAAGGTTTAAATTAAAAAGTAAATAAATTTATTTGCAGATGTTTACGAATTCGTCGATTTTATAGATTGCATTTTGAAACTCATAACTCTTTTAATTTTAACCTGAATTCCCTGAAAGTCTTTATATTTTTCATGGTGCTGGGGAGGTTGTTGAAGAGCTTAAGTTAGATACCGGCACAGAGAAATCTCGTTGCCTTCTTGTGCTGAAATTGTGTAAGTCCCCATTGCGCACAAACTTATGCTGATTTTTATATATGTACAGTAAAACCTCCAGTACGAAAATAGACGGCAGAGTGGGAAGACCAAGCTGAATAAAGTGGGATTTGCATGATTCCCATTTCTTAATACCCACCAAGCAGCGCAATATTCTTTGCTGCACCATAAACACTTTTGATGCGTATGTAGATGTAATATGTTAGACGATTCTAAAGAAATAGCCGATAAATTCAATAAAAGATTCGTAAATGGTCCTCAGGAAATTGTAAACTCCATGCAATCCAATAATCTAAGTTATACGGGATGTAAATTCAACAACATAAAATCTGTCACAAATAGTATGTGTGCTCTTCCTTTCACCACCGATGAACTATTACTCGTCCTAAATAAAATAAAATCAAAGAAGACATCAGGACCAGATGATATCCCCACAAATTTGTTGAAATCTATTGCACCAATAATAATTTTTCCGTTAACGTTTCTAATTATTCTATCCTTTGCTCAAGGTATTTTTCCCGCTCAATTAAAAATGTCTATAGTTCATCCAATCCACAAGAAAGGTTCAACGCATGATGGTAACAACTATAGACCTATATCTGTCAGTCCGGTGCTGTCAAAAGTCTTCGAGTATGCTATGCTCGATAGATTAACCGGTCATTTACATAAAAATAATATCATAACAAACCGACAACACGGATTTCGTACCGGATATTCTACTATGTCCGCCATAAACTCATTTCTCAGCGACGTAATTTCTCACCTTGAAAATAAGCGACATGTAATAGGAATGTTTTGTGACCTAACAAAGGCTTTTGACTGTGTCAACCATAAAGTCTTGATTGAAAAATTAGAGTTTTATGGAATCCGGGGTGTAGTCTCGGAATGGTTCCTATCCTACTTATGGAAGATCTCAGTATGTAGAAATAAAGTGCAAATCCAATTCCAAGATCACAAAGTTCTCATCGTGCCTTTTGCCGATGAACATTGGCGTACCACAGGGCTCGATTTTAGGGCCAATCCTGTTTCTTTTATTTATCAATGATATTGTTTTCATTTTGAACTCTGTAATCATGTATGCGGATGACACTACTGCAATAGTTTCCGGTAAAACTATTCTTGACCTACAACAACGGGCAAGTTGAATTCTATCGACGCTTCAAGAGTGGTTTAATTTTAACAAACTTCATTTAAACAATAGCAAATCGTACTGCATTTTATTTTCTTCTATTTCTCCCACCACCGATGTATCCCTTCTTGCTAATGTTCCAGTGCAACAATCAGGGAAATACCTGGGAATGTGCTTGGATACAAAATTAAACTGGAAGTGCCACTGCTTATGCTTGATAAAAAAGCTTAATGTTTGTTGCTTTCAAATCCGTAGTATCAGACAGTTGATTGGTGTATATTTCACATTGTCCTTCTATTATGCGGAGGTTCAGTCAAGGTTATGTTACGGTGTTCTTTTCTGGGGATCATCTACACTGGCCGCTAAAGTTTTTATTGTACAAAAACGTATAATACGATGTTTATTGGGCATAAAGCAGCGGGAGTCATGCCGACCATATTTCATCAAATATAACATCCTCACCCTTCCATCGCTATATATATTGGAAGTATCAACACATATCTACAAAAATAAACACCAACTTAGGCGCAACAATGAATTTCACTCGTATAACACCCGAAATAAAGGAGACCTTAGTATACCCATGGCAAGGTTAAAAGCGCAAAACAATCTCCAAACTCTGTAGGAATCAAACTATTCAACCACCTCCCAACCTCAATTTTAAAAACCAGCATACGCTCAAAGATTTTAAAAGATCAATAAAAAATATTCTAAGCGAAAATGCTTTTTACACTGTCGACGAGTTTTTAGAAGTAAGTAAGTGCTCAAGGTTTTAAGTTATGTTATGTTATCTTTCTGTTAAATTACGTCAATGTTGTCTTTCCCTTTCTCTTTCTTTTTTCTTCATTTTGTGACATGTCCTAATACAATATTATATTGTCAACAGGAAACAATAAAACTCCGCCCCTCTTTGACTTTTCCTTTTACACTTGTGCTCACTTTAGAGACAACATTTCTACTTTTTATCGAAGATATTTAAAAAATAGTGATGTTTACATTTTTGCCTGTTCAGTATACGAGTTTATACTTTTCTCCAAGAACATGAGGATTCCTTATGTGACTAATGAAAGGGTGCAAAAAAACAACTGAATGTCGCTTTATTATGGGAAATAAAATGTTAAACAACTTTCATATAGAAAAATTTTGTTGTATACAGTCGATAATTAGCGAGTTTTATACATAATGGACACCCTGTATATTAATTAATGCTATATGACTATGATTTAATAGGCGTTCTTTTTTTTCAGGCAACTAAATGACAGCGTTCTTCAACACATAACGTTTTTAAAAGGCTATTACGATCCCTACCATAAAAGGTAAGCGCAATATTAATATTCCTTACAATTGATAATTATTCTTTTCGAAGTACGCGAAAATGTAGTTCAAAGTAACGGTACTGTGTGAATGGTGCACAATGTCAGTTTAAAATTGGTCATTATTCTGCATTCAAATATGACTATATCGAAAGCAACTACCACCACCTAGCAAAAACATTTGAATTTTCAAATAATTACATTGTAGGATTTTTTGCTAGTGTTCTGCTTCCACCGCTTGCACACGAGATGGCGCCTATCATTAATGTGCGATAAAGTCAGTAGATATAGAAAGTACCGCAATCATCCGCCATTTTTGGGCAAATTTGCTGCCAACTTAAAAAAATTGACAAATAAAATCTGAATAGCTGTAATTTTTTTATAACCTAACTTCATAGTACTGTCATGTTTTATAAAAATATATACAGATATCTCCAAACAGGTGGAACAATCCCTAACATTAAAGTTACTAGAATGTGGTAACTTCCGCCATTTTTGGGCAAAAATCATGCGTTCTCTCTCTAACACACGAGCCCAATGGATTGCGGTACTTTCTATATTTAGTGACTTTAATGTGCGATTTTTAAATTAACTAGAATGTCAGTTCGACTATCCAATTTTCGCAATTCAGAAATAAAGCGGTCTGTGTTTTAATGAAAGGCCTTCGACCGTAAAGGTAGATATAATGTTCTTAGCGTCAAAAAGGTGAATTGACTTGCAGAAAGTAAAGTTACGCCTTCGCCAATATTGTGCGAAATGTAAACTTTTAAACCACCCTTGAGATTATAGCTTAAAATGGAAGTGGGTAACTTCTAAAACAAAGGTTGTACTATTTGCTTGGGAACTTACTATGGACACGAGGCAAATAAAAATGAAGATAACGTTACTTTAACATTCTCAAGGTTCCTATAATAAACCTACTATTGCACATCGCGTTTATTTAGCACCTACTTCCATTTACGAAATCGTATTACATTTTTCTGAATCTGATTTTACAAAGATCAATTAATGTTACAACCACTTTCTACAATTCAAGTTTCAAACTTGATTAAAAATGTACTAATTTTAATTTTAAAGCATTATGCCAGGTGCAAATACGACGTTAATTGCAAGTTGGATTGTTTCACACAACGTAAATCTTAACCTACATAAAAGATTTATGGTGTGAAATTTTACTGACAAGCGTGTCATCAATCAGACAGCCGTGACTTAATTTCCAATTAAATTTGCTTTAATTCTCAATTTATCGTTTTCATAAAAAAGTGTACTTGGCCGATTTTTTTTACCCTAATTAATGTGATGCGTTGATCTTTAGGTTTACCTTCTACATTTTATTAATAGCTAGATTAACTTAGATCTCGAATGCCGTTTGTTTAGCAAATAGAGTTCAGTACATTGAATTTAAGTACCCTAATTTGTTCCTTTAATTAGAGCTTCATAATTTCCCGTCCTAAAACTTAGATTTTAATAGCAAACGCTGTTATACATCGGCAATAAAAACGAATTCATAATCAAGTACACCAACGAAAAAAGCAGTTTTGTAGGGCAAACGTATAAAAGATGTCGTTCATTCTTAGCGTGCGAATTAATGTGAACTTTTATTGTTTCAGACCCATGACGTTCGGTGAAATTGGATGCTTTCTCAGCCATTATAACATATGGAATGAGGTGGGTATAACAGTTTTCGTTTACACGCCATTAAGCATTTACGCGGGTTTTTGAATCCGGATTATTTTCGTGAAGGGTATATAGTCCACAACTGAAATAATAGCTGCAATTCAAGAAAGCAAAATGTTTACGAAGGATTAATCTAGGAGAAAAATCATATTCGATTATGTTAGATATTTCGATGTAACGAATCTGTAAGGCGCATTTATGCGTTTCAATTTTGCCGATAGATGAGGCAATTTGGAGTGAGCGATAGAAAAACGGTTCCTACATATCGGAAATCTCGTGGTGTAATTCATACTCCACTCAGCAAGTGGAAATTGGCAATTTTAATCTCGTGATTCTGTATCACCCTTTGAGTTTTTGTGCGCCAACATCTGTCGGTTTAGAGTTTAAATAATGTATGTAATTGCACAACGAAATGTAGATAGTAGCATTGCCCAATTAAATTGAATAATTTTGCATTTCGTACTCAATTGACGGCACGTCGTTTTTAGCGATCATTTAATAGTCTCCCGCTATGTCTTTTAATTTGGCGTTTACCATTAGTATAGACTGTAAACAATTTTCATGGTGCTTCTGTTGGAGACATTAGATTAAAAGTTTTTAATGCAGTAATAGAAAAATGTATTCACTCACCGTTGAATGCCGGTACTGATTTTAAAGTCTATTTCAGGTCGTCATGCATGAATACAGGACTATTCTCGTTTTAGAGGATGATGTACGATTTGAACCTTTCTTTAGAGCGAAAGTGGAACGCCTAATGGACGAACTCGATAATCTTGGCGAGTGGGATTTGGTGTAAGTATTTTACTTTTATACTCCCTTTTATCAAATTCATCGATTTTCTTTTATGCGTGAAGCCCTGACTTACGATTTGACGACTGCATTCGTCTCTAATTTTCATAATCTATTTTTCTTTGACACAACGAAACGATATTTCAAAATTTTGAGAAAAGATAGGCCAGAAGTATAAAGCGTATACAAATATTAGTGTCGAACTATTTGAGTGACAAATTCAGAACCGTGTAACACAAATAATACCTCAACTGAAACATCGTGTTTAAATTCGGAATGAAAACGTACATATGTTTCGCACGAACGGCTTATGTACATAAGAAGTTGGGAAAGACAGGCGCCCTACGCGGGTTAATACCTATGTCAACTACAGCTCTTATTTGATATACTACTACGGAAGATATATGTGTGTTTATTTATGCTTCGTTTTGCGAAAATCGTATCTCACAATCTCCCAATATTTTAATTGCAGATATTTCGGGCGTAAGCGCTTACAAGAAAAGGAAGAGCCTTGGGTGGAAGGCTCCAAAATGCTCGTAAAAGTTGGTTATTCATATTGGACGTTGGGATACGCGTTGAGTTTAAGTGGGGCACGCAAGCTTTTAGCCGCCGAACCTCTTAGTAGATTACTTCCAGTTGACGAGTACCTACCGATATTGTTTGACAGACATCCAGTCAGCGAATGGAAGGAGCAGTTCCCTAAAAGAGATTTGATCGCGTTTTCAGTGGCTCCTTTGTTACTCTATCCAACGCATTACACGGGAGAGAAGGGCTACATTAGCGACACCGAAGATTCTAGCACAGTCAACGTACCTTCAATACCTGCCAGATCTGACTTATAAATTTAGTTTGTAATTTCTTGTGTGCCATTATAAATAACTTTTGCTTCAATTATTACGTGACAAAAGCATTTGTATTAATATTGAAAGGAATAAATTACATTTTTTTAGAGAAAGTTTTTTAGATCAGCATTAAATGTCACCTTATTTCAGGTAGTATTCAGCGAAACAAGGCGTCATTTTTATGGTAAGTTAAATATAGAAATTGCGATGTATTTATCTGAAACAGTGTTTGACAATTCAACTAAAATTCGACTCAAAATGGATATCAGCTCATACTGGGTTACGTAAACGATAGTTTAAGCTCAACAATTGTAGTTTTAAATATAAAGGTTTTATATTCAAAGATTGTAGGTGGTGTATTGTGGATGCTACTACCTAATTTATATGATCCAACGTCGTGTGCGGACAATTCGCACCGGAATAATTCGCATCCGGATAATTCGCACACGGACATTTCGCACCCGGACCATTCGCACTCGAAAAATTGGCTCCCGAATAATTCACACCCGGATAATTCTGTAAATCTTTGGTTTATTAAAATTAAATATTTTTAAGAGGCTACTAGGCGATTGCCTTTACAGAATGTATGTAGTAGTGCACATCTTGGTAAACATCTACTTCATGGAAAAATGTTTCAAATAATAGTTATTTGGTCTTTCATTTTCAACACATCGCGATTCTTTAAGTATTTCCATTTCTTAAATATAATCACGCTGGTTTTTTTTGAAGTTGTATGAAGAGTCTGATATAGTTAAATCCTGTAATTTAAGAACACATAATTTTTATCTACTGCGCTTTCGTTTTGAGAAAATAAAGATAGGTAACTGAAACGTCTTTTGTGGAGTAATTAAATACCAAATAGTTATACCTAGTTATAGTATATCTACAATATTATGTGTAATATTCGCTACTTTTGAGACGCTCTTAATATTAAAACAGAATCAACATAATACCGTACACAATTTTAACGTTCCCTTACATAAAGATTTCTTAATGAAGACACATAAAAAATTGTTCTTTATTTCTTTAGTTGAAAAGGGTGACAAAGGAAATGAATTAAATTTATTTTAGACAAAACGAGTATGTATAAATGACAATAGAACAATGCATTTCATAGATGGCACTAAATTTGGATAAGTAATTAAGATACCTAATAGGTATTATAATTAAAGGTAAATTTGAAAAGACCCCGATAACACAAATTGCGCTTCATAAAGAAACAATAAGAGAAATATCGTAATGACATCCTTTCTATTATTTCTGGAAGATGAATAGGGTTTATTACAAGGTAAAAGTAATTACGTCCGAAAAATCAGGTTTAAGTACGTATGACCACAACTAATTAGAACTTTAACGCCTGTATAGTATCTTCATTCTTGAACGTTTGACAGAGTGGTATTTTAAAATTTATCTGAGCACGGGTTTTGATTTTGTGTATACTTTTTTTTTAATTTTAAAAAAATTTTTTTCTGGGGGTAGTGTATGGTGGTGTTCAGAAAAGGTAAGTTTCCAGTTTTCTTAGAACCAGTTTTACGTTTCTTTGACCACATATGGCTATATGTTGATCATTGGTATTGGTAAAATTACACTAACTGCTTATTTTTTTGCGTTATCTTTGCTACAACTATGGTAGTGAATGAACTTAAAAGTTTCTTTTTGATTTTCTTACTGTTATTTATTTTATAGTTTGAAGAGATATGGAAAAATTCTGGCACTTTTTTAAGAGATTGTTAATAATCAAAACAGTAAGGGTTTTGAAAATCTTGAAACGTTTTAGGAACAGGTCGATATTGATGATTTTTTCTTTTAAATGTTTGTAATTATTAAGTACCTATATACTTCCTTTTTAATTTTTGTATGGCATACCTAGTACTAAAGCAAAACCCTTAGCATTGGTAATTGCGCAACAAGGAAGACAGGATATCATTGGAAAGGCTTTCCTTCTCTGAATTTGGTGAGACTATAATTTTTTAGATTTGATATTTTCGAAATATTTTAAAAGTAAGTTGAGGGCGCCCTGTTGTTTATGTCATTGGAAGGATGTCGGGCCGATCACTATGTAATAATAATAATAATAATAATAATCCATCTTTATTCTTTTGAATGGTTTCCCATTATAGAACATGTCAATGTTTGATCTACATTCTAGCTTAACTAATAACTAATTGTACATTTTTTTTAAATTTTTAATTAGAAAGCTTAAACGGAAAGCTTAAGCTTGAAGAACTCGTTAAATGAATAAAAGGCAATGCGTGAAAGTATGATTTTAATCTTTTTTTGTATATGTTCATATCTTCGTTTTTCTTCAATCTCAAGCTATCCGGTATGTGATTAAATATTTGGGTACATATGTATATAGGGTTTTTTTCAAAATGAGCAGTACGATGACATGGTGTGCTGAGTTTTTCAGCGTACCTTGTTGACATACCTTTATTGAAATGCGAATTTTTCTTAAACGTATGTAAATTTGTATAAGTGTGCAGTATACACTTGTATATGAATGCCGTAAACACTGTCATAATTTTATGTCTAATAAATAACGGTTTGCAATGCTCAATACTACTAGCGAATGATATTCTTCTTAAAATTTGTTTCTGCAGGAGCAAGATTCGCTGACAATCCGAAGCCATGCCCCAGATAAATAAATTCTCCTCAAAGACTCGACACTTACAAGATTTCTAAGCGATAGTACCGCAAAGCTTGTACTTCTGAGTTTCGCACATACCTTGTCGATCTGGTCAGACCAGTTTAGTGTATTTGAGACATTTGTCCCTAAAGATCTTTCTGTACTTGTTTCTTGCAGCTCAACCCCTCCGTAGTCCGTCCGTAGTTCATTCCGGACAAGCTTTTGTTTGTTATTTGGATTACGAAATTGAATAATTGTGGTTTTATCCACATTTAGAACTAAATTATTGAACGAGCACCAGTCATTCATGCATTGAATTACTTCGTTAACTTTATGTTGACATTCGGTAAACGTTTTCGCCCCTATTATAACTGAAGTATCGTCAGCAAATTTGCATATTTTTAAGTTATCAATTTTTTCAAAAGCATCATCTAGTTTGTTGACAAATATAACGAATAGAAAGGGGGCAAGTATCGATCCCTGAGGGGTACCGTACTTAACCTGCGCAGTTTGTGATCTGTATTTGTAGTTACTTATGGCCTTGTGATGTTCCGTTATTTCTACCGTTTGAGTTCTGTCGGTTAGAAATGAATGTACGAGTTTCAGAGCCACGCCTTCAACACCATAGCTTTGTAATTTTTTACATAATATATCTTTGTCTATAATATCGAATGCACGAGATAAATCAAAAAATACCCCGGCAACATATTCTCGCTTATCCAGTGCTTTGTAGATGAAGTCGATAGTGGAAAGTATAGCTCGCTCGGTTGAACCACCTCGTATAAATCCATCTTGGGTTTGGTTTATGAGATTATTTTTTTCAAAATACTTATACAAACGGGCCAGTATACATTTTTCTAAAACTTTGGAAAATATGGAGAGTATGGAAACTGGCCTGTAGTTTTGTATCTCATCCTTGGCTTTTTTTTTATGTACCGGGACAACTCTAGCATGTTTTAGCGCCGTAGGGAAAACTCCGCATGAAAAACATTCATTAATAAGGTGCGTTAATGGTTTACTTATACTTTGAACTATGTCCTTTATTAAGAAGGCTGGTAAATGATCTATTCCTGGGGATTTGTTAGTGGGCATACTGCAAATTATCTTAATTAATTCTTCTTCATCTACAGGAGATAGAAAGAAGGAATGACTTGTACGTTTCTCATCCAGATCATACTGGCTATTGTTGTTGATGGTAAGCATAAGGTCATTAATACTGTCTATGAAATAGTCCTTGAATAACTCACAGGAGACTTGAGGATCCTGCACAATTTGACCATTGTGCTTAATTTTAATGCTTTGGTCCCTATGTTTTCCTTTATATTCCCTGTTAATTATTTTCCATGCCGCTGTGGAGATGTTATTTGAGTTAAATAGCTGCATGTCGTAGAATCTTCTTTTTTCACTCTCAATGAGCTTAATGTGGGCCTTTTTGGCGTTTTTATAAAAGTCATTGTAGGAATTGTGATTAAAGTTCTTTTTCAGCCAGTGTAGATTACGTAAATGGGCGGCGCTCTGTCGGACTTCGTTATTAACCCAACCCTTCGTCTTATTAGATAGAGGTTTATATTTGAGAGGAAAAGTAGTATCAAATAAGTTTGCTACCAGACTCGTGAAGTGATCGAATCTTTCATTTATGCATGAGTGATTATCATATATGAAATCCCATGATACTTCCTTTATCTGATTGCGGAAGTTAGCCCGTTCCCTAAACCCAAAATTTCTTCTGGCGTACTTTAAGTTGAATGCACTGACATTTTCATTTTCTAAAGGAAATTGCAGCTTGATAGCAAGGTGATCAGAAAAACCTGTTTCTAGTACTTTGCTGTGAGGTTGTGTTCTGAATTACAATATATATTATCAATTGAGGTGCACGAGTTTAAAGTTACCCTGGTTGAATTTGCAACAGTTGCGCGCAAATTGTAAGAAAATATGATATCTAAAAAGAAATATCGCTGTGTATTAGCCGCACTGGTATCCAAAAGATTTATGTTTTGGTCACAGCAGATAAAAATATACTTATACCTAGGAGTAGCTAAATCTAGTAATGAACTTAACTTATTATAAAAAATGTTAACATTCCCTGCAGGAGATCTATACATAGATATAACCAAAAAATTTTGATTATTTATAACAAATGTTATGGCGCAATATTCCATATCTTTTTCTATGCTTACAGTGTGAAAAGATATTTGTTGAGAATGCACATTAAAACCTGTTCTTACAAAAATAGCTGTACCACCACCACGACTCAGTTTCCTGCAAAAGAATGCTTCTAGTCTATAGTTATCGAGAACAAAAGATGCTACTTCTTCTTCGGAGTACCAGTGTTCACATAAACATACAATATCACAGGAATTATGTTCGAGAAAAACATTTAATAGATTTCTCTTCATACGCGCACTTTGACAGTTTAAGTGAAGAAGTGTAACAGAATTACTATTGCTTAATTGTTTTTCCACTATACCTGATTGGTTTGTGTA